GGCTCGGCCGTGCGCTGCCCAGCGCGGGACCGGGCGGGGACGGGTCCCCGGGGGGCGGTGGGAGGGCAGAGCCTCACCTGAGGGAGTCGGTTCTTCTTGATAGCGCACCCTTTGCCCAGCTGCGGGGTGGGCTGGGATTTGTTTCAGTTATCAGGGAAAAAAAGAATTAAAAAAAAATACAGAGGAAAAAATAGGGCTTCTGCCAGGTAGACTCCCGATCTGTCAACAATGAGCACCATATGCATCTGTATTGGTTAAAAATCACTTTGACCATAGATCACATTAAATCACTTTAGTAGCTGTTAGGATGCTAATGCAACATGTGAGGTACCAAACAGTGTATTTAATAGTTTATTGTCCTGCTCTGGTAGAAATATCTAGAATATGAACCAAAAAAGCAGTTGTGATTATAAGCATTTCTGATAAACTTAGATGTTAAGTTTTGACACTAGGCTCTCATCTCCAACAGATAGGTTTATTGGCACAGATCAATTTTGATATCTGGTAGCTTGGTACCTCAGAAGAGAGACCCCAACAAAGAAATTCCTGGGAGTGATGCACTTCTCAGCTCTGTACTGTTGAACTCCTCCACTTCAAGAAACGAAGCGATATCTTGCAAACATTTCTGTTAATTAACTTACCGTGTTATTTCCAAAGTATTTGACTCTTCTGTCCCTTCTTCCCCTATCCCCTGATGACACTGGGATTGAGAGGTGAAATACTGTTTATTAGTGCCAAGGGGGCGTATGTTGGTGTGCAGTACTTAGGTAAGCAGAAGCAAGGACACCTCCTCTTGCAAAAACCTGTTCTCTCTGCCTGTTTTCTATGATGAGGAAGGAAGGGCCCTGAAAACGTGCAGCTTGCAGACAAACATTTTGGAGAGTAAGAAAAGGAGGAAAGAGGTCTATCTTGCAGTATGGAAAATGCAAACTGCAGGTCCCCAGTCCATGTACAGTGACCATGTCACACCTTGGCTGTGTCTTGGGCTAAGGAGTTTCTGTGTTTTCTCACAAGGATCATGGTTAGGACTCAGCAAGGCTTATGAGGCTGTAAAAGGTGTATAGTATCTATGACTCCATAGCCTGGGAAGACAAACAAACATTTAATGGCATCTGAGGACCGGGATAAAAAACTGAAGCAACTGCTTACACAGTCCCTGTGGGGAGATACACTGCTTCCATTCTTCCTGTGACACACAGGCTGTTGTCTGGCAGGCCAGCTGAAGCACGTCCAGCATGTCCACAGGCCTCTGCTGGCTCAGCATGCCAGCTACAGTTGCCTGGTTGTTTCATTACAGCTTGTTCTCCTGGGTTTTGCAAACCAACTGCTGCCACCTTTGCCTACTCTGTGCTGGGAGAAGTTATTTCAGCTGTTTGTAAATGAGCAGCTTTCTGGCTCTGTGTGGTCTGCTGATATTAGTTTAGACACACTCCAGTCATGATGATTAGCATTGGAACGTGGGTGCTTTGAATGGGGACTGGTAGTTCAGTGCCACTTTCAAAAGTTTCCTTTCACTTTATGGGCTGATTCCTGATATTTGTGTCCACCCGAGTGCCCTGTTCTCTCTTTTTCCACATATAACTTCTGCACAGGTCGTTATTGAAACTGTGCTGTGGTGGTCACTTGCATTGAAAGCTTCTCTCATAAGATGCATCTCCTGTGCTCTGATGGTTAAAGGTACATGAAGGTATTGCAGTTTACCAACATCCCACTTATGTACCTTAGGGGTATATAGTGTATCTATTTTTTATGTAGATACATACACACTGCACACACTATATATAGCAAATATAGTACATTAGGTTCTATAAGGGTACATATATACATACTGTACACATACACTGTTATTTATAGTGCTGTATCACTGTATATATAGTATATACTATATATAGTACTATGCATGTATGGTATATATCAGCATATATAAAGCACAATATACTATATTAGTACTAAACCTTATGATCAGCTACTTAACTGTTCTCCCAGTCCGTATTTTGTCTTGTTGTAGAAGAATGTTTGTTGTGCTATGTGAATGAGAATACTTGTTTGATAAATGCAGGTTGAGTTCACATCTTGGACATGCTCTGAAAGGTCTAGTGGCATCTTCTGGTTCTAGTCCTGGAAGTTTCCTGGCCACAACAAACGCTGGCCTAGCACATATCCAGCTAACCCTTATCTTCAGGCTTTGTTGCATTAAAAGGCCTCTCAGCAAAGGCGAACAAAGGATCCTGTGAGGGCTGACATCTTAAAAACGGAGATAAACTATGTTTTCTCTGTTGGGTTTGGTGGTTTTTCCCCCTGCGTATTTTTGGCTTTTCTGTGGGGTTTTTTGGTGGACTTGAAGCTGTACCCTGCAATTGTGTTACTGACTGTCAGTATCAATCTTTCACTGCTAAATAGAGATAGGTATATGAAGTCCTTGACCAATTCTGGGGGATGTATCCCTCTCCCCTACTTACTCAAACACTCATCTGGCTGTATTTAGGAAAATTTTTAGGAGGCTGGTTGCACTGAAGATCCCCTGGGCAGTGTGAGCGCAAGCACGGAGTGAGGAGCGGGCAGCTTGCCTCGCTGGGAGCTGACACTTGGAGCTCTGCCAGGCTCCAGGCTCTGCCTGCCCCTGAGCAATGCTGGCAGCCACAGCAAGTAGCAGAGAGCCTGCGAGCACGAGATTGTGCCTTATCTCCTGCAGCTCCTTGTGTGCCCTTCTGCGTGGGGCAGGAGCAGGAGCTGTGGCAATATCAAGAATCAGAGAACTTGTTACAGTTTGTGGCTTTCAGCATATTCTACTGAACTTAGCTATGGCCACCTCAGTTAAGTACGATAAAATCACTATTGCCAAGACAATGTTTAATTAAAAAAAATTTATTTCACACTTCTATACAAATATCCACAGGTCATTTCTAATCATGGAATGATGTAGCATTGTTAGCCAGTATAATGAAAGTTTGAGATAAAAGTATACCAGTGACATGACTTATTTTTCAAGAACTTTCACTTTAACACTGCTAAGACATTCATGTTCTTAGGCGAGGGCCAGAATCTGCTTTTAGATTCAGGGGTATTTGTTAAGCTTCTTAGCCCCTGATTAGCCTGGCTTCTGATGTTGCTGAGCCTTTCAGCAAATAAGCTAGAATTTTAAAAGCTCAAACACTGGGTAACATCAACATTCATATGCAAATGTTCATAAAATCAGTCATAACATACTGAGATTATTTAGTGTTAAGAAAGATGAGTGTAGTAAATTAATTGAAACTTTTTAGGTGACCACACCTTCGTACTAATGTTCAAAGTTAGTAGTAAAAATAAGACACTTGACAACTGCCCTCCTAGCAGGTTTTTACCCTATGAGGGGAAAAAGTACCAAGAGGTTTTTGCATAGTTCAAATTACGAGCAATTAAATACATACTTTTTGAGCAGAATTTTGTTTCACATGGAATAAACAGTTTTGAACTAAATCTTTGTTCTTAAATAGTACCAACACTTTAAAACCTGGGTAAAAAAGTAAACTCTTTAAATAATTTTATCACTTATGGTACAGTAACTAGATTTCTGATAAACAACATCATGGTTCTACTTTATCAACATTCAGGTATTCGAGATGATTCAGTAGTCTCAATGTGGATCAGCTCCAGATCCACACAGTTAAGGTACATGAGGCATCTACAGACTCTTTCAAGTGCTGTATAACAGTTGCAGTAGTCAATGCCTTTTGCCAAACAGGAAGTCCTTATGAAGCTGGAAAGCTGTTTTGAGAGAACTCACTTTCTTACAGCAAGTATAAAACTCTATCTAAACCCCTATTTCTGCTTGGTGTCCAAATCCTTAAATAGTCTGCAATAATATACAAATCATGTTACAAGACCTGATGTTACAACACATAAACTTACAAGTATCAGGAAAAGAAAGGCCCCATACACATTATTAGCATAAATATTTACATTTTTAGAAAGTATTGGCACCTTCAGTTACTTATTAAAATGCAGTGAAAGCCTCAGGTCTCATAATCTTAAGTTCAAAAACACAGTGGATTTGAAAATTCATTTAAGTCTTTGGCCTAACAGTTAGTCAAAGACAATGATTTATAACAAAAATAAATACAAAAATGACTAAAATATATATATACAAAAAGTACATCTAATATTCAAGCCTCTCTTTTTAAAAAAAACCTGTGTATATTTGTTGTGAGCAAGAATCACACAATCTGATCTTAAAAAAAAAATATTTAAAAAAATCAAGCAACATGACCCATTGCACATGTAATTTAAGATGATGCTTCTTGTTAAGCCCTAACTACTGCAGCAGGTAAAGGTTATGACTAAAGCAAACTTGCAGGTCTTCAGTTATACTTGAACAAAGTGTGTTAAGGCCACTGTGTGTTTGTAAAGCACTATGTATTGAGGGAACAATGGAGAACCTGTCTTGACGTTAATCGTCCATTCCTTACATACCAGGAAGAAGGTCAGGATCACAGGAAAAGGTCTGCTATAGTGGTTTTGCATATTTTGCAGAAAAGACCCCAAATCAACATAGTATTTTCTGAAGTGTGGGTTAGATTTGAGGGGAGAAAGAGGCAGT